GAGAAATTGCAGCAGTTTCAAAAACTTTACCAAATATTTACAAAAAGAACCAACATATTCAACTGACAAAAGTATAAATGTTTACGCTTTTCTGGTTATAAAGTAATGCGGAATAAAAATCTAAGCACTGAAGAGGATAACAGCCGCCATGTGTATGTATAATACATTAAGTTTTATAAAGTGATGTAAATGACGTGTCTAAAATCATTTTCTTCATGAGCTGACATCAGTCAGAGAACCACTAGAAAACCTGGGAGTAATGGACAGCTGTTCCACCCTAGTTTGGGACTCTTCACCAGTACGCACCCACGAGCTCGCATTGTAATCAGAAGGTCTTGGGTTCGCACCCCGGGGGTGTGTACTACTGAAGAGTCCCAAACTAGGACGAAACAGCTATTCAGTACTCCCAGGTTTTCCAGTGGTTTTCTAACTGATGTCAGCTCATGATGAAATCCTCCAAGCAATCAAACAAAATCCCTACAAAACCAATACTTGAAAATAAAATCAGTAATACTTGTGGATACTGAGAAGCTTGAGTACCTGATCTAAGCAATATTAGAATCCAGTGACCCTATCTATTTAACATACCACTGTGAATAAATCTTATTAAATGCATCATCTGTTCTGTATTTAATTTCCAAAAATACTTTACCTTTGAACCAGACCTTAGTAAGACTGGTTTTTTCTTAAATGTAACAACCTCAGTTAACAGTACCCAATGAAATAGGGTGGAATCACATTATTATCTGTACTGTTTCGTTCAAACGCCTATTTGTTTGCTCAATATAGTATTACTCACATGAACAGCTAAATTAATAAATTCACATTTGAATGTCACAGTTGGCTAGATCATGATAAATGCTAAGCGACAGTACCATATGTCCTCTTGAAACTGTTTTGGACAGTCTTTGGTATAGAATTAAACTAGTCAAGTCCCGACTGAACTAAATTTCCGTGAATAGGTATTACAGTTGAACCATGACTTATTCTGGCTTTCAGCATTGTCACTTCATATGTCTCTTGATAAAAACTATTAAGATAATCCATCCCAATCACTTTCTAATAGCTACAATTTATTTATTCGCCTTAAAATCACTCGAGCAGATTTTTCTAGTTCTGCATGTGAAACATTTGACCAATTGAATAATTTCAGTGAATGAATATGTAACTGTTATGTACCCCTAATTCTCCATAATCTTAAAACCAACTAAAACTCTCCAGAAACAGCTCAAGAAGGTGAAAATCAGATAAATCGAAACAAAACCACCGGGCCAAGGCAGAATATTGAATTCGGAATTTATAAAGCTAATTAAATTACTTATATATTGGCTTTACTATCTGAGGTGAGCAATATTTGTATATAATAAGGCATTTTTACCGCCTTAGGTCCATCTCTCATCTACCTTCGTTTGCATGGGCTCTATGGGTCAAGGGTGATTAAAGATTAGTATTTGTAGTCAGCTTTCAGATGAGCTACTTACTGCAGTCTCGTTCTGAGCTCTAGTCGCAGCATTATTATTACAGCCTATCATAACAGCCTACGTCAAAATTTGATATCGTCGTCAAAGCCAAACAGGTATTTTCTTCTTATAGATAACAGCCTTAGAGACAAGAATGAAACCCCTTTAAAGCACCTTGTTACCAATATCAATTCAAGTTACCTGTTATTATCATAATTTTAATATCGCTGACTACTGACAGTAGTATTCTTATCATTTCATATTAGTTTTTGATGACCTTACTTACTCTTCATATCGCTAACTGAATAAATGCATGTGATGACCTCTTGACTCAGTTTTTCTATTGTACATTTCTTCTAAACCTTTTTTTATGACTCAATATGGGAATATTTCGTTCATTCTAAACAAATCGTCTAATTTTGTCACTTAATAGAATATTTGAAAAATGCCATTTGTTTTGCGAAAGTGAGTGATAAGTTCACCTCTCTGAGTTTTTCCAGCAGTTTGTTTAGTCAGAGTTCTCACGGAAAACAATAAACCTGATATCAAATTAATAACAACAAGCATCCAACTTATTTATGCCACATTTAAAGCGACTGTTCTAAAGCTGGAAAGGAAAAACACCTGCTAAAGCTTTCCTCTATGAAGACCTCAAAATTATCTTATGTACGTGTTTTTAATACATATTGTTGGAGATAAAGTAGTATCGTTGGTATATCTTAAGATCTTTTCCTGAAAAATATGTTCTCGATTCCCTGCATCCGCTGACGCGAATTCTACCATTTGTAAAAATGGTTCGTTGTTAAATAATGATGACAAGACATCTAAGAATATCCCCTTTTCCCCCTTTTGTATCAGTTTTGTTGAAATTGAGAATGGACTCCAAGACACCTTTTCATTACACTTCAAAAAGCTTTCGTATGTATTTTTTAAGATTCTAGCCAGTTACTTACAACTGTGTCGTAAACAAAATTGCATATGTTTAAAACAAGACGAAGAAGATATCCTCTTAGTATACATTATGCACATCATATAATCGTGACATATTACTCCCCGTAGATTCAACTGACTCGTGTGCTAGCGGCAAGACAATCACCTTTTCTCTCAATTACTTAAAATTGCTTGTCAATTACTTTTCTACATTTCTGTTTAGATCTGATGAGTTAAACGGTTTTAGAATTTGGTTTCGTAATTTTGAAGTTAGTTCATTTGTTTGTGAAAATACTTTTTGAAATTTTGATTTCTCGTAAATTATTTATTAACATTTTAGACTTCCTATGGATTCACCTAACTGAATCGATTAGCTTAATTTTGGTATATGAGCTTCTTGAACGGAATCTTCGATATTACCAGGATTATTAAAACAGAGTGACTTATTTCGTGATGTCTATCTGTAGAAACCAGGATGCGCTTTTCGTTTTACTCATCACTTCATAACCATAGTTATTGGGTCCGAGTACCAGTGGGAACACTATCACTAACTGTGTCGCAGGTACAACCAGATGACGGGTCCTAAAAAGGATGAAACGTAAGTCCTGGATTCAACTATTATCTGCCAACAAACAATTAACCTCGAGTAATTTCTCTTCATATAATATGCGCAGAAACATGCTGAAGCATTATACGGCACTTATCAAAACTAATATTCTCTTTTGTGAAATGGATGACTCATCAGTGCGTGAATTTATGTAAACATGATGATATGACTTAATTACACATCAGGTCAGGTAACAACCTGAGAAGATATTTACTATAGTAATAATGATTTAAATGAATCCATTAAAAAGGCACTTCTATATTAGTCTGTCATAGACTATAAAACTTACCAATTACATGAAACAAAAATCCAATAATAAATAAAACAAAATATACCGTGTCCAGTTATAATTTTAACTAAGGTTCAATGTATGTTCTTAATGCGTCTGTGAGGTGGTTTGCCGTTTGTTTTTTTGTTCTTGTTTTTTACTTACATATGCTAACAGCATAAGGCGGCATGTCGCTTGGTTAGAAAAACGTATCAGAACAAATGCCTCCAAATTCTAGTTTGAATGGCTTGATAATTTTTATTTTTACTAGAAGGAGTTAAATCAGAGATTTGATCATAGGTGTTTTCATACTATGACTAGACTTCCATTTTGTTTGTTTTCATTGGGATAGTTTTGTATTTCAATCCATACGATGATGCTTCCAATTGTAGCTGGTATAGAGTGTAAGTAGATAAATTAATTATATACTTGTGGTTATCTTGAGGAGATTCCAAAATATGATTCGTGTCTCTCAAAGATTTTGTTAATTTTTGCTCCGTGAAATTTATGGTCTTTTTAACCATATCATTGCAAAATACGGTGAATTTAATTCGACATACTAAAGATAAATTATCCATAATGGGAATTAGTCTTTGGTGTGTTTCGATGATTTATTATTTTACCACTAGTTAACAAAGCCTTAAAACCTAGATGAGTAGTATGTTTGTTCCACGTAAATAAACTACAAGCAACGAGAGCGTAAAGCTAATGCCACTCATTGTTTATTATGGACTGAAGATTGCAAACAGATCATAGATGTCATCCCTACTTAACATTTTTTTCACCTTTCTCTCTCGAAAGTCCTATCTGATTATTTATAAATAAACTCCGGTTGTAAGATTGTTAACTATCTTGTACACACATCTTTCACTTTACTACTATACCCTTTGAGTTGAAATAATTTTTTCAAGTATATTTCAAGTATTTCTGTATTTATAATAATTCGTGTCAATTTGTAAACTAGCAGCAGCTAATGAAAAGTCGTGAATTAAAAAATTCGGAGCTCCTTTTACCCTGTAGATGTTTTCATCCTCCATCTTGTTCAAATTCATGGATATCCACACTTTTTTCAGCAAAATATTCTCCCCTTAATGTAATGTAAAGACTATTTTTGATCGAGTGTTACCCTGACACCTAGAATTCAGTATTTTAAGAATAAATATTAAAATCATTCGGTTTGCAAAAAACAAAATACTTCACTCTATCAGATAAACTATTTTAAGTGTATCTTTAGTTAATGATAGAATGGTTTTCGACTTGGCAATCATAGGAAAGCGTCGGTGGCTATGCGGTAGAATGCACGCCAACCACGCCTCATATGGTTCGGGGTTCAATCCCCGGTCGAAGTACTTCTTTACCTCGTTAAGCCGGTAATAAGAACTGTGAAGAGGGAAGGTTAGACAAGAGGTTATCAACTCTGCCCTATGAAAGAATCACCTCGGCTACCGAGACTTCAAATCTCCCACTCGAAGCCCGATATTCTACTGAGAACGTGAAAGAATAAAATAAATAATAATCATGAGAAACGTAGTAAGTAGTCATCATGATGAAAGTAGCTAATGGAACCTAAGACTTAGCTTATTCATAGTGTTTCTTCATAATTCTGTAAGATAAACAAAGGCAAGGGAACAGAGATTTTATGGTAGAAAAATTTATTTTTTATATACAGTTGAGTACAAAGAACTGTGTATTATTTCTAAAGATACAATTCTCTTTTCATGAATTTATTTTAAAATTACAATTTTAACTTTCTTCTAATTGTTTTAGCCATAGTTTGAGCAAATACACATTTTTCACCTGGACCTCGTGTTAAATACATCAGCATACATTGATTAAATTCCCTTTCACATTCTGGATATTGACGGCAGTATTTCATCAATGATTCCACTGGAAACTTTGCTCCTCCTGTAAACAATAATTAATATTTTTAACTTTTAGAAATTTATTATCACCTTACATGCTAAATGTATGCTTTTCTATAAATGTAGTCGAATAAATACTGTTACATTTCATCATAATATGAAGCTACTCTATATAAAACATAGACAACTTTCTGATTTTAATTTATTTCTGATAGCATCATATACCCGAATTTTAGACAACAGTCTTAGTTCTATCTTCTCACTTGGTCCTCAGTGATTTCCATATAGTATTCGCCATTTTTAACTATGTGATAATCGTTCATTGCCTGCAAATCGTTAATTTCTATATTTCTTGACGTTTAAATGAAAAAACTTCAATCTCCCTGGTGAATCGAATCAGTAATATAGACTGATGCTCATTGACTGCATTAAACAGCAATTGACACATTTTTAAGCTGAAGTATTCTTAACTAGAGTAAACTAATTGACTTTAACACACACATCCTAGGTCTTGAACCAAAAAGAAACTACAGAACTGGCTCCCTACGCTTTACAAAACCTAACTTTATAAAAAAAACTCTATCATAATATAGGTCCTGTGAAAGGTAAATTACCCTAATAAAATCACATTTGATTTTAAATTAACATCACATCGATGGGAAACACATTTTAAGCGACAAGTAGCTATAGCTTACTGTAATAAATTGTGAAGATTTGTTTATGTATTCATACTGGGAGATATTTAATGTATATATGAAACAGTGAGTCAAACATTACCATCTGCATCCACCTAATCTATAGAGAATGTGGGTAACATGATAAGTCTACTCAATGCACTAGGTCTATTAGTTATTCGTGTAGGCTGACGGCATAAGCCATTTCGTTACTCCATTCTGTACATTAGAACATATTTGTATAGATTCTATATGTTTGAATATCCCTCCATCATTTTTATACTGTCAGCCTTCTGAACTGTTCTTTCATTAATAGCATACATGTTCGCATTTCAGGAATGATATAAATTGAAATAATCTTTTCGCTGTAGAAACTGATTGACGGTCTCTTTGTTTACCTGAATTCTGGTTTTCGTGGTAATACTGAATTAGTAGTACAATCCTTCTTCATTCTGACTGATAATTAGTACAGAATTCATTCAAGTTAATTAAAGAATAAGGAGTGGAGTGGAAAAACCTTTATTTTATCCACTTACATCGTAGGCTACATTACAACACTCTAAAATATTCTATGTAAACTGGAATTAAATATAAATCATAAAATGAAATCATAGTTCAGTGCTTCATGGCTTTAAATGGATCTCTAATTGTGATGTTGATTTGTGATAAAATCTATCTTGCTACCTTGATTGCTACATTGCATACTATTTTAGTATCACTTAGCCTAATAATCCCATTTTACACCTGACCCATAAAATTTGATCAACTTGTTGCACTAAACACTTCCACTTGTCAACATCTAGCAAACGATTCACAATGCACTCCTGTGATTTATTTTCACTGTGAAAATGTTCCCTTCAATAATGATAACTGCTGCATATAGTTGTTGAACAATATTTCCACTTGTAGATAAATCTACGTTAATATTTCTCTTAAATATAAAAACCCACATCCAGAGTTCTTTCTAGATTTTGACAGTCAGTACACTAACAAAATGTGTTTGAAGTCATATTAATGAAGGAAAGGTAAGGTTATACCTTAATAACTTCGTGTAAAGTAGAGATTATTTTAATTGAGGTAACCGTGTGGTTTATATTCATAAACTCAAACACAAAGTAATATCCCTAGCATGTTTACTACTAGGCCATTTTACTTTTTTAACTGCAGTTTAAACTGAGGCCTTGTGATATGACAGGAAATATTTCACTACCCACTTTCACTTATAGATCAACAATTTGGAAACACTCTAACATCTATATAATGAGCGCTTTTATGGTTATTGTGAAGTAAACATCGCCTGGCAGTACGTTATTTATTACCAAAATAGAATTTATCTTGAGAAGATTTCCATGTATAAACTAAGATTTATAGATCTTTGAAATGTCGTACCTTTTAGACAATATGTACAAAAACATCTTTTTGCCCGCAGAGCCCAGTAATTAGCTGGAAATGTCTACTCTAATTAAGATTCTTTATAATCTTAAGAAACGCATAAGGTAAGTATAATAAGCTAATCTGTCGACTTTCTGTCTGGAATAGAAAAAAACACTACAAATATGCTTAATCCACGAATAAATAACTGTCATATGTAAAAAAAATATGATGACTTGAGCGGTATCTTTTGGGAATAGTTGGCAAAAAACGTGTTAGTCACTGCGCTTCCTAACTGGTTGGTTATCTTGCTTAGCTGTACATGTCATTCCAACACATATTCCTGCTAAACAGCTTTTGAAACGAACTGTATTTATAAATCAATTGAATGACTTTAAAATCTAAACTTTCAGAGGAGATTTAAACATTAATTTTTCAATGTACTAATTTAGGAAAGAACGCTAAATTTAAATAGTATTTACAACTAAATTTAACAGACTGACTCCTACTAACTTCCTTCAGGATGAAGGAAAGTGATCTTTCTTCCCTTTATTACTTTGCAACTATTCAACGGTACAAAGATCGTCGTTAGCATACGTCAATAATTCTACGACATTATTCAGACATTTTTAAATTTTAAAGAATAACTGTTATCAGAAAAACATGTATCCAAATGTTAATATCTTACATATGTTTACTGTGTGTACAATAGATTAAAATTATATACTGATCATTGGACAAACTTTGTTTATATAAATCACTTACGTGTATTTAAGATGGTGTTAAGACAAAAGCTCATAACATTTTGTACATATGCATTACAAGCTCGATTATAATGTTCAGATTGTGCTTTGGTGCAATATAACAAGAAACTGAACACAATCACGTTTAGAAACATGATATTCATCTTGAAATAATATGAAGGAAAAATCTTTGTTTTTATCAAGAAAAAAACTATCAAAATGTTTACTTATTGTTTTCTGCAAGATTTAATATCCTTTTATTATTATTTTATTTTTTCTTTCAAAATAGACGTCTACAAATTGTTTACCGATATTTATATTTCTCGTCAATGCCAAAAATTAACTTATATACTTAAACGAAGAGAACTAACTATACTACATGGATTATCTATCCATAAAATAGGACAAGCTCAGTTTTCCTTCCAGGACTATTCATTATCGTCAAGTTTCAACGTGTTATTTTAACTTGGTGGTACCAATTTATCAGGATTATATTATTCATATGATAGCTGCGGTCTATATCAAACAGAATTTATTTTACTGTTGTGAGAATCAGCAACAAGTTGGGTAAGTTAGAAGCTATGATAATATTGATTGAAGAATTAATGTGAACTAGTTGTTTCGTTAGTTGAAGATGTGTCTTATTTGAATTAAGGAAAGCGAAGAGAATAACAAAATCTAATGATTTAGTTTCGGTGTTTATTTAATGGTTCACTTCCACTTAATAATATGGATCGCAAGTACGTCAACACTTATGAATATTACTGTGCTCTACTCTATGTTTTTATTATTTATTATTTTTATTTTATTTTTGATTAAAGCTTGATTCCACACCGTATTTTCGGTACAAGTATGAAATTTCCAGCGTGGATATCTGTAGCCCAAATTTTGCAGGCCGACCATAGATATCAGGTGTGCGTCGGCGCGGGCTCGAACCATGGACCATGTTCATGGTCGGCGAGAGTCCTAGCCACTGTGCCACCAACGCACAGGGAAAGAATATGCTACCAATAGATAGAGTATATTATATGTGTATGGGACTGTTTCTACTTTGATAAACCCTGTAGCAGGTTTTTCTGTCTCACTGCAGAGTTTCTGGTTTCATAAGCATACCTAACAAATTTTTCTCGTCTTCCTCGCTTTGACTTTTTTTTCCTTCACGTTCCCAGTGGAACATAAGGCTTCAAGATAGTTGATTGAAGTTTCTGTGACAGTGTTTATTTTACAGAATGGGGTTGTGTGGTGATTGACAATTTCTATCTCTGTATTGTTTAAATACTTACTGTTGATTGTTAATATATTTCTTATATGAACTGATTAATAATTCCGCTAAATACAAATTCCTGAATTCCGCCCTCTCTGTGTTTTGGTTGGATTCTTGTAATTCGGTCATCTTGAAATACTAATACTACGATTACAAATAATTACAACAGATTGTTAGCCTCATGCCCAACCTTTCCTCTTTACCAGCATTATTTCTGGATTAGCAAAGTAAAGGGATGCGTCGGCAGGGAATCGAACCCTGGACCATGTGCATGGTCGGCGAGCGTCCTGACCGCTATGAAACCGACGCACCTCACTTTGATAATAAGTGACAAAAACTGACAGGAAACATACAACAGTGATTAGTCGCCAATTGAAAAATCACGAAACCCAGAAATGTATTATAATGACAATACAAACAATGAAATGACATTATGCTTTACCAAGAAACAAAAGTAATGGAGAGCTACTTAACAACCGCACCAGCTGAAGTTGTTTATGAAAGGATTAACGCGATAAAACTCCACAATTCTCCAGATTGATTTATTCTATTTTTAGGATTGTTCTTGGAAAGGTTCTTGCCTGTAAGTTGCTTACTCAAACTGTCAGTTTTACAAATTTGGTCTTAATGTGAACATTAACAAATTATTCTTGGATTTCCAAAATGACATTCTGAAACTCGCTTTACACGTGTTCTTAATTTCCTTTGTCTGGATATCTACATGACATTCCTTTCTTCACCTCCCCTTAGTTCTTTGATGTGAAGCAATGAAAATAATTCTTTCTGTCGGGACGCAAGGCTAAAGTTAACATAAAATATTTTCAAGATACTACAAATTCTGATCTTGAAGTTTATCATACCCACAATAAAATTTACAAACACTTTGTATAGACTATCCGTAAAACTAGCATTTGAAAACAAAAATAGTTTAAAATTAATTTGTTCACCTTTTAGTAAAACAGTATCATGAAATCATTTAAAAATAATGTTGAAACAGTTGTGTGCTACTGACTGATTAACATGAGTAGTTGTGTACTGCTCAATCATTGGTGTATGTTAGCTAGACTGAAGTGGTCTAAGCAATGAATGCCCATTTTGTTGGTTCGGGGTATAGCTCCTCAGCGGAGTATCTGGTTCAATTTGAGTTAGTGAGCTGAATCACTTCAAACCACCCGATTTCTGGCTTTCTTGATTACCATTTTCCATATCAAGTAGATTACATATTGTTATCTAAACAGTTTCGCTTTCAAATGGCTTTTTGTTCCTACATTCAACATCTTGATTTACAACTATTAGTAATGACTCAGCAAACTATAAAATAAGTTTTCGATTTACATAGTGAACCAACATCATTTAGAGAGCCCCTGAAAACCAGTGAGTTCGTCCTAGCTTGGCGCTCTTCAGTAACGCTCACCAATGATCCCACCGGGGATCGAACCAAGGACATTCAGATTACGGGACAAGCTCACTGATCATTCAGCCACTGGGATGGAAACCAGTGCCCCGTGAATTCTTACTCTTGATAATTTACGATAAATCACATCACTGAGAGCCAGTGTCATTGACGCATAACTCTCCTTATACCAGACATGGTAGTCCCAATTGTCTCTACTTCTCACTGGAACTCAGGAAAGTTGATCTCTCATTGAGTCACTATTGAGCAGTAGGCCAGTTTCCAAGTGTCATTTTGTGTGGATTTGGTTGTTTTTAAGTTATACCACGAACTGACATCAGCTTACCTCCCCTAGTAAACTAAAGTTGTTCGGTTCAATCTCAGGTGAGATCATGAATGCTTAGTGCTTAAAAGTACCAAACTAGAGAGAAACAGCTGTACAATACTCCCTGGTTTTCCAATGGTTCTCCAGTTGTTTTCAGCTCATGACCAATCCTAATGTCAATTCATAATTCAGCTTAAAATTATTCAAATCTCACAAGCGAACGCCTGAATATTATGTAATTTTCAGTGTGAAGTTTATCCACCATTCCTAGATAGAATGAAGGCATAGGAAACTCTATATCGAATTGTCTAACTTCAAAATGTTCAAAGTCCAGTAGCTAGAAATGAAATCAGGGTAGCCTTTTAGAATAATAAATTGTTCATGGCGATTTTATTGGATCAGGATTCAAAATTAATTGGTTTTTAAGTTAATCTACCTTTTCATTTTCATGAATTTATTAGAACAAGAAAGGAAATATACGTACATCGTCTTACGTAACATGGATTTGCAGACATCTTCAGCACTAGGTTTAACAGGAAGTGAACTTGCTTGAATTCTCCATGAATGACATAACTCTATCTCTTGAAAATATTTATCGTGGCTGGTCGTTAATTAACATCCGTTTTGATGGTTTCTATTGACTTGGAATTTAGATTTTTTCACGTGGTTTGTCTTTTCTTAGTTAGCGAATTTGATCTATGTTTATGTGTCTGTCAGTCGTTGATTTACCCGAGTACTAGGATTCTACAAATTCGTGTATATTTTTTATGTTTCTACGTCTGCAACTTCCTAAACAAATTGTGTCCATAATTGTCTACATGAGTCAATATCAAAACACAACATATAGTGTCTTCTGACGGCTGGTTTGTGGAGTCTTCAAAAATAAACTTATCCAATTTTTACTACTATGTAAGAAATGAACATATTGTACATCACTTTGTTTTAACCATAAACTCTGTACTTTGAACTTTACCTCGGGTTTTGAAAAAATATATAGTTCTGCCTTCGACTCTCCATCTTCTCCACCATCCCAGCTGCCATCGAACAATTCTAAGGACCTGCTTTCTATTTCAAATTTTCGCAGGAACACCGTAGTTTCTTCCTACATACTTTGGTCGACCTCCGGCAACGTCAACATTGGAGAATTAGTACTGGAGCAGTCTTCCCGCAGCACCCCTGGAGTCTATCACGTTTATTGTGGATTTTGGACCTTTGTAAACCCAAGTAACAAAAATTTAATATGTTCTTCCCGTAACTAAAATAATTTGGTATTTTATTTTCTATTTGAATTTGGGTTACTACGCTAACAGAGTAAAAGGTCCATCACGTATGCTGCTACGAAGGGGACGCCTATTTTCACCAATAAAGTGTTTTTCGCATTTCATGAATTTTATTTTGTGTTGGTCTTGCCTTCATTTGATGCTGGGTCTTTAAATCTTCAAGGTATTGAATGAGGCGAGTGTGTTGATTTGTGTGCTATGTCTATTTCGAATGGTTCTAGTATTCTGAATGTTTCTCTAGAAATATTCTTCATATACAGTAGGATTTTGATTTTTCAGGATAGTCTCTTGCTAATAGTTAGATAAGAATTTAGATGATTTTTCACGAAAAATTTGGATACCCACAAAATTTCGTCGGTGCGTCGGTGGCACAGTGATTAGGACTCTCGCCGACCATGCACATGGTCCAGGGTTCGAGCCCACCCCGACGCACACCTGATATCTATGGCTGGCCTGCGAATTTTGGGCTACCGATATCCATGCTGAAAATTCCATACTTGTACCAAAAATACGGTGTGGAATCAAGCTGTAATCAAAATAAAAATAAAATTTCGTCAAAAGATGTCTAAACAAACTGTTTGTTGTTTCTTTGAAATTTCTTTCGCAGTTGGTTTTGTAGCGGTAAATAATTCACCAAAATTATTGGCCATAGGAATAGATTATGTCTAAGAGAAGAATTACATCGTGACCATAGGAATCATTAGCAGACATTTGATTCTGACCCTCACTGTTTGAGTCGACTTGTTTGGCTGAATGCTTCCGTTCAAGTATCCGTGCCATTTGATACTCCGTCGTGTCACATTCGTGATAACCCCGGTGAGTTCGTTCTCCTTTGTATTTGTTCTTTTACTATGTTTTAATCGACATACTTTTCGTCATGAGTGATTCTAGTCCCAAGGTCA